CAGACCTAGGAGCCAACATTCCAAATATCTGTTTAGTAAGCAAGTCCTGGGGACTTCTGTCTGTGACTGACTTAAGCCTTCTCTTCTGAGTAAACACTTGGTGCCATCTGGGTGACTATTTTATAACTCCTGAAAGGGATAGGTTCGCAGGAACGTACGGATGGACGCTCATTTTCCCCAGGAACTAAAAGCAGCGTATCGAGTGTCGAGAGGAATAGTTATCATATATTTTACAAGAGATGGCTGTGCTACCTTCCCTCACCTGTCACTCTTCTGACACAGCACGCACAGGCTTAAGCTGGGGATACTAGATCAGGCAAGCTGTGGAGCCAGCTGTGACCCTGCAGAACACAGTCCCCAGCTTCTGCCTCTAAATTGCACATCTTGGCAAAACCACACTACAGAGCAATACAATCCCTCCTTTTTACTCTCTCAAGGTTCATCAGCTATAGTACAATTTATCAGGGAACTTAAGCCTTAAACATCTCCCATATTGCTTCATAAAGTGCATGTAATACAGGAGAAAAGTTCAAAATATAATCACAGCATTTATTCATAAGACACCTGAAAGGTACTAAAGGAAAGAGACATCTACTACTTACAGAGCAATTCAGAACATAGCAGAGAAACGAGAGACAGTATAAAAAAAGGCTGAGAATCAGTCATGATTTTGGACTACTCCCATAAAACTACCACCACAAATGAGAAGAAAAATACATACATATATCTGGACTTGGGGAGTGTTAACTGATTCATAGAAACACAGGAAAACTTTACATCCTTAATAAAAGGACTCAAATATACACATATATATGTCAAATTTACAATAAAATGTATTTGCATGAATAATGCCCGAGTCAAACAAATATACTTAGAACTATTGAAATTGCTAATTTCAGTAGGGTTCTATGTAAATCCTATAAAATTTATCACATATTTCTTCTTACAGATTAGCATATTTTGCATTACAATGCTGTTTCTTTTCTCTAATTTTTCATGTATGATTGATGAAATTGTATTAACAAGACTTATGTATGTACCTTAAATAAATGCACAAAACCACATGGGATTCTAATCCCATCTCTTTCTGAGTTCTCTGCTATTGCTACAAGTAAGAAGTTTTGTTAAATGCTAATACTGTTAGGATTACAGTGTGAAATTTTCTCTTAACTCACATCAGACAGGAAGATCCAGAGCTCTAATTTATTTTTCATATGCACTTTCTGAGCTATAAAATTTCAATTTCAAACTCATAAAATAATTTTTGCATCTTAAAAAGTAGTGCTGTTGTTTTGCCTGTTTTGCAGTTTAGCATATGCTCATCTACCTAATAGGTTGCTACAGCTGTTGGGTATTTATGAATTCTGCCACACATACTGCCTTGAAGTTTCCCTCATTCCATACAATAATGGCTATGTCTGTCAGTTGGACACTTAAAAATATCTTTTTCCCTCCAAGTACCAATCCCTTCATTTTCTTCTGTATTTTCTCATGTTCCTATGTTGCTCATACTTCTGAGCTGTGTGGGATTTCCTACTCATAAGGGTTGCACAAACACTTTTAGACACGGAGTCACTGACATATTTTTAGACTTTTGCAGTTGCCAGTAGCACAGACAAAAAAAAAAAAAAACAAAAAACAAAAAAAAAAAAAAAAAAAAACAAAAAAAAACCCCCAAAACCCCCAAGAATTTCTACTGCATGCTGTTACATACTTGTATAGATTATCTACAGGCAATTCTCCCTGGACCAACCAGCTGCTGCAGTGAAGCAATCTCAGTCTTTTACAGCCTTCACCCTCCCTGTGCTAAGGATGGAAGCATGGTACAGATCTGTGTACGGGGAGAACATTCTGACCCCGAACAACACTACTGATGGTCTACTTTATACAGAAATAAGAATATATGATAGACCTCATTCAGCTTACTCCACTGATGTATGATATCTATGGAAACACACAGGAATGGAAAATTGCACAAGGCAGTAGAGCTCTGTATGATGCCATCATTTACCACCTGTGTGCAATTGCACTGGGGCAGAAGGTTGATGACTCAGGCCCAGTTGTCTAAAACCAGAGCAAAACCTGGTCCTTTTTAATATTCCCTTCCTTACTGCCAAAAAGTCATACTTGGGACTTAGTTCTAACAGTGTGTGATCATTTTCAGTTCTCTTCTCTCCCTGCGCCCAGCATAATTTATTTGTCTTTTAGATAAAAATAAATAATTTTCACACTAAGAAAAAAATAACAATTACTAGAAGCAGAGGATAAATTTATGACATTATGCCTTCATCCCACACGAATGGAACATTTAAAAACTTTAACAGAACTCATAAATGAAACACATCATATTTTGGCTAAAACAGCATGAATGGTTCTGACATAGTAAGTCCTCATTAAGTGACATATGAACTGTGATATTATCTGACCTACTGTTTATTCACAGCATGATATGACATCTTCCTTTCATGATTATATATCGTAAGAATCACAGCCACACAGAAGTCACACAAATAAAACTACTCTGAGAACAGAATTTTCCCTTAGCCACCATCACTCATGTAATTAATCTTTTAGCTCTTGCCAAGAGAAACACACAACGATTTACAGTGGCCAAGAGAGAAAGCCTTCCTGCTGAGCCACGTATTCCCACTCTGCTGTAGTCTGTCTTCAAACTGCTAAACCCATTCACACTCACTCTTGTCTACATCAGTTACTAACATCCCTCTGAAGACTGTGTCTGCTTTCCTAAAAGTTAAATATTTTCTTTCAAAAAGTGTAGAGGTGACCATCAGTAAATGTACCAACACAAACACCTTGTTGTGCTGGAATTAATGAACTGAAACATTTCCAAAGCATTCTGTAATCAAAGAAATGCAATTCTTTGACATCCATTTTGTGAAACTGGATCAATTCAGGTACAGAAAGGAGTAAGTTCAGTCAATCTGGAAGCAGTGTGCCCTGGCAGCCAGGATGGACAAAACTGTCCTGGGGATCATCAGGCACAGCATTACCAGCTGGGCAACGAAGGGGATTGTCCTGCTCTGTACCTTGAATATTTTGTGCATTTTTGGGCACCACAATATAAGAAAGATGTTCCTAGAGAGTGTCCAAATGAGGGCCACGAGGAGAAAAAAGGGCCTTGCAGGGAAGAGCAGCTGAGGTCACTTGGTCTGTTCAGCCCGGAAGAAACTGAGGAGAAACCTCACTGCAGTTACAACTTCCAAATGAGGGGAAGAGGAGGGACTGGCACTGATCTCCTCATTCTGGTGATAAGTGACAGGACTCAAGGGAATGGCCTGAAGCTGTGTCAGGGGAGGTTTAGTTTGGATATCAGAAAAAGATTCTTCACCCAGAGGGTGGTTGAGCACTAGAACAGGCTCCACAGAGAAGTGGTGACAGCACCAATCTGATAAAGTTCAAGAAGCATTTAGACAATGCTCTGAGGCATGTGGTGTGACTCTTGGGGATGGTCCTGTGCAGGGCAGGGAGTTGGACTTCACAATCCCTTCCAACCTGTGGGTCCCTTCCAGCTCAGCATATTCTCTGATTTTTGATATCATACTACTGACCTCTGAGTATGATTCTTAGGAAAGCTAAGTGTCCACAACTTAAGACAAGGAACACATTAAAAAAAAAAAGAGACTTAACATATTCAGGTACTTCTATCAGAACAGATGTACTAATTTTTAAATCATTTACATAAAAATTTCTCAAAAAGACTGTCCTATGGTCTTAGAACACACACAAAATAGATATCCTCAGGTTTTTTTCCTGTCTTATCTTCAGACATGTCTGATTCCTATTCCTATGATCCCTTCAAGTCCTGTAAGAATCTATCTAAATCAAGACATACTCCAATGCATCTACTACAGTAAAATTGCAGGTTACTAATAATATTTTAATTAAATATTAACTCTTCCAACACACAGTTTGCATACTCAAGAACTAAAGTAGATAAAGGGACCTGTTTATCTCCAGAAAGATATGAGCTGCAGCAAAGAGTCACTGATCTTGGGACAAAACACTAACTTCTTCCCACGAAATATAGATACAGGATATTATAATCCATAATCCGAAAAACAAGTAGTCTGAAACATGGCAACTTATTTTTGACACCTTAAGAGTAGAATTTATCTTTATGTTATGGGTCTTCAATGTTTGTAGTTCTAATTGAGATCCTGCTGCTACAGCATTGGAAAGTAAGGGAGGGAAAACACAGTGTATAATCATTTATGCTATGAATAACAGTTGTTTTGAAGTTTATTTAGGATTATATGGGTAATATGAATAGTATAGATGTGGCTCATAATACTGAGTCTGGGAGAAGAGCCATTGATGTTGTGAAAGTACAGCCTGGAATTTGTAAGATTTTCTATCTTTTTTTTTTTCTTTTTACTTTTTGCCACACTCTTTTGCACCATTTTGAATTGTTTTTGCCCAAATAGACTGTTCTGAATGGAAGGGCTTTTCATCTCAGTTCATGAGCAAAACCACTAAAATTTATAGACTTCATACAGGATTTATTACTTTTATGAAGTAAACAAGGCATGCCCTGGAGTGTTTTCTTCAGGATTTGTACATGCTTGGGCCCTGGATTGCAAGGAAATTAGGAATATTTTCCACCATCCATACAGTAGTATCTTGTCAGAATACAATACCCTAAAAGCATTGAGCATTTTTGCAAGCTTTTACTGAAAAATGCTTTTCTCTAAAATAACAAGGGAATTCTTTCACTTGAACAAGTCTGTACTATTTATACCTTAATAAACAAGATAATATCCTTGTCAGAATTTGGGAGGAGCAAGATGTTTCAAACCTGCTTATTTTTTTATTTTAATAGAATTCCCTTCACAAGTCATATAGAAAATGCAGAGGCACTATGAATAAAGGGACTTGACTTTTAGATTTATTAGTGGGAGTATTCACATTGCAAATTAGTGAAAAACATGCAGCATTTCTTAGAGATTTTCTTTTGGCTGTTTTTCTTTACATGTACTCACACTTAAGGTGGCTGGTCCTGGAGGTCCTGCATCTCCCTAGTTAAAACAGGAGAGGAGGTAAATCAACAATCTCTTTAGTTATACATATTTAACCTCTAGATCTTTTAGAGAATATGCAGCACTGCAGAAGTGATTTCAGTGCAATCATCAAGCATGTTGATTATGGAAATATGTGAATAAAGTGATATTCTTCTCCAGCAATGGCAGAGATATACACAGTTTACCACAGGTTAAAGGGAAAAGAAAGCACCAGGCCTCTGCATAAATGAATCACAGGTTTAAAAAGCAATCCTTCAAAACACATTTCCATATGTCAAGTTACAAGCTGCAGCTTACATGCACAAGGTGGCTGCTGAAGGCAGTGTGACAGCTCACATATGTAAAGAAATCTGACTGTGTGAATATTCACAGAATTAGGTCATTGAGGTACAAATCACATCTGAAACCTTCAGGTTTAGTTCATGGGAGCAAATTAGTGCACACAGAGAGCAATTCAGAACACCAACTTTAGTCTCCTGCTCAGAACTCCTTTTAAAATTCATTGTGATGGTGTCTTTTGCATTACAGTTAGCCTGTACTTTAAGCTGTAACTTTAACCCTTATGTTGCACAAATGGCAGCAGTGGGTACTTGCCACACACAGTTATTGCAACGTGTTCAAAACTGAAGAATATCATGCACACTCACATATACATACAACTTAATAGATTTAAAAAGGTACCTTTTCTCCTTTTGGACCATCTGCACCAGGACTACCAGGGTCACCTTTTAGTCCCTGGGCAAAAAGAGAAATGCATATTTATTGTCATCTGTGAAAAATTCTGGGACAAAATCCTGTAGCACTGTGAAGCAGTATACACTCAACAAATAGACCTTAAAATTATATCATGTTATTAGTGCTATCTCAAAATTCTTTATTTTCATTATTTTGTGAACAGACACATATATATCAAAGACCACAAAGACTATCAAAGACCATAATTAAACATACGAGGCCATCTACTTTATTGTGCCCCATTATGGTAAGTAGTAAGTAGAAATGCAAAGTTCTTTTGCAGTTTTGCATGGCCAAAGAAGATAAAATAGAATATTAGAGAGAGTGCTAGTACATTCACTTGAACTCCGCTAAAACTGCAAAAGAGGTAGAGGTGGTCAGAGAACTGCAGATTTTATGTTTCAAGTAGGAATGCTGAAATGATGAGCTCCAGGAAGGTACAGCTCAGAGCTGCTGCACACCTTCCAACACTCATTTTCACCAGTATTCACAAAGGCAGTTAGAGAAATAATCTATTTCCTTCATACCTCCTTCTTTAGTTCTGCCTTCAACAGGACAAGCAGCTAGTACTGCCTACACTTTGCATACACAGCCATTTCACACTCGCAGGATCAGAGTAGTTTGGGTTGGAAGGGACCTCTCAAGATCACCTTGTTCAACCTGCCCTGCAGCAAACAGGGACATTGCCAACTGGATCAGGTTGCTCAGAGCCTATCCAACCCATTCATTAATCTTTCCAGGGATGGGATATCTACAGCGTCTCTGAGAAACCTTTTCCAGTGTTCACTCTTTTCATTATAAAGGGTTTCCTACTTACACCTAATCTGAATCGACCCTTTACAATATCTCTTATACAACTCTTCCACTAAGAAGTTCTCACCAGAAGCACACAAAAAATCCGCATAAAATATCTATAGTACCCAGCACACAATCTTTGTTGTCTTCTCCTTGCTACAAAACAAATGGAAAAATGAGTGGTTTCAAAATATGCCCAGCAAATTCAAGCCATTCTACAGCAATAAATGAACTTAATTATCATGCTGGACCAACCTACCAGGAATTAATTTTTATTTAAGTCAAGAGATTTGTCTTGTGCCTTCCCTCTGACTACTGCTTCAGTGACACGAGAGACTGTGTATATTGAAAGTCAGAGACACCTCCACAAGTTAAAAGATTTTACTTAAAAATGAAATGGCAACAATGGAGGCAATATAAGACCCAATCATAATCATAATAAGATGCTCCACAAGCAGACCACCATCTTTATTATTCTGGAGGTTAAATAGGTCAAGGGTAGAAAAAAATTCATTTACATCTGAACTAGGGCTTACAAACTAAAGTTCTTCCCAACTCCCTTTTTTGTCCCTGCAAACTCTCTCCTCAGTTTGCAATTATTAGGAAGATAGAGACAACTGGCACGAAAATGGTGACTAACATCTGTGCCTTGGTGGGTACAGAAACATGAAATCAATGAGTGTTCTAAATACTGCGTATTTGTGCAACTTCACTTCCTGCTAAAATTACATTAATTCACCATCTGGAAGGAACATCATTTAGAACTATATGAGCATTTAAGTACCCACTTTGGATTAAATTTGTGGTTGTTGTAAATACCCCTGATTTAGCTTTGATTTGTTCTTTATTAGGCTTGCCAAATATGTAATAGTTAAATCAGAAGTAGCTTTGCTGTTTGAACTTAAAAAATGTAATAGGCAGATGGATTCAAAAACCAAGCCAAAAAATTGCTTTCTTTTTACAATCTGCATATTTATGACATAGCTTTAATATTGCCTCCATTTGTTACATTTTACTTTCAGCCTCCTTCTTAAAGACTGCATAAAACACAACCAATCCATATTCTTAAAGCCATTTTAGGGATTTTTCAGGTATGCGAACTGTATGGATTTGGTTCAAAATCAATACTAGCAAATCAGCTGTGGAACAATAGTTATGAGTTTAGGAATTAGCTCTTAGGCTGTATGTTTACAGAAGATAAAATATAAGGCTAAAAAAATGTGCAACTCACAGATGGTGACATATATCTGTGTGTCTCTACTGAATAGAAAATGCAACTGCAGATGAAAGATGCTGAGCCTGAGCTACGCACTTTCAAACTACAAACCTTATTTTTTCCTAATTGCTGTGTTTAAAGCTTTTAGTAGTGTTTCTGCAAGGGCACCTCAGTGAGGTGTGCAGTCTGAGAGCTACTGCAGAGATGATGGCCATAGCAACTGACCTCAAATAAAAAGGACAAGGGGAAACTACATGCTTTACAGGAAACCTTATAGTGTTTGAAGGAGGATTTTAAAGGGCACAATGTTACAGACCCATTATAAGTATTGCCTACACTTTATTTATGTATTTAAAAATATTATAATCTTAGTAAATTTCAGACATAGCGAATGCTTGCAAAATGCACATCTGGGAATGCACCATGCCTATCCTTCCCTACAGTGACCTTTGTGAAGCTGCTGAGAGGTTTAGCTGCTGGCTCACTGTCTCTGAAATGCCATAAGAAGAAAGAATTCCTGTGCCAAGTCAAATCTGCAGTCCCTTTTAGCACAGTACAGTAGGGTATCCTGTCTCTGGCAGAGACCAGAACAGGATGCTTCAGTAAAATTAATGTGGTTATCTAAACAGATACAATTTGGTTGATTTTAGACCAAGCCTTAAGTTAGAAAAGCTCATTTTCTGCAGTGCTTTAGGAAAACAAGGTCAGCTCTGAAAACAAACAAATTTCTATTGATCTAAGGAGTATTTTCAAGTTTTGCCAGAAATTCAGGTACAGATTAGAAATTTCAGCAGCTCTTATAACAGAGGGTAAATTAATTTGGTATTGAATTCTATCCCTGTCTAATTCTAGCTTTTTGGGACCAATATATTAATATTCATTTATGAGTTCATGAACAGTCTTCAGCTGAAGCATTTTCTCCTCTAAAAGGACTATAGCTTGGTCTGTTTATAGGTCATGATAAATTTACATTATGGCTCCTCTATGGAAACCAAAATGTAAAGTAAGCATTAGAATATGTATATACAAGACCAGTTCAAAGCTAACAAGATAACAACATTGGAAACAGCAAAAATGAGAAATGTTCTATATACATACCTAAAGTAAGACTGATAACTTTAATGCAATTTACAACCAACAGAGAAATTACTGAAACAAGTATATCACAAATATCAGTAAGGGTGTGAATTGGGGTCAATGAGGGAAAGATTAAACTAGAGGCAGTGTTTTTGTTTGGAGGAGATGACAACGGTACTTCTGGTGGAATGAATGAAAAACAGATAAAACAGGTAAAATGTACCACCAGCTGACACCAGGTACTCATCTCAATGAAAAATGGCAAAGATAGCTGGACCCAAACCAGAATACTCCAGCAGCTCCTTGCAGGAGCCAAATGTTGCCTACAGGAATTGCATCTATTTGCACAGCATAAACTGTGCTGCACACCTGACAATGAAAAAGGCAGTCAGACTGCAATCATGTATTCAGGAGAACAGGTTTTCAACTCTAAAAGATACATTTTTGGGAAAATGTAATTTGTTATTTGCAATCCCGTGGCCTTCATTAGAGTAATCTAGTTCAATGTATATTATCTAATATACTGGAAATACATACACAACCCAACACTCCAACAATGTGCAATCCCATTATTACAGATCAGATCAATTATCTCTACTGAGTAACAGAGCTTGGGAATACTCTAACCACTAAGAGCAGTACTACATTTCCTTCACAAAGCAACCTTAAAATCTAAGTCAACAATAGCTTCAAAGTCAGTTGTACAATGCCAACCTGGATATGCTGGGATAAATTTTCTAATTTAGAAAAGTTTTTTCATAGCTCCAAACAATATAATTTTTTCAGTTTACCTCTCAGGTACTTTTAAATGCTGACACTGCTGTTTTCTCATTAATGGAACTCCAAAACTTCCAACTGGTATATTACTAGAATTCACTCGACTCTTAGTATTGCAATGCTAACACTAAGAGAGTTCAATATTAGACAGGTTGGTCCTGAGGGTGTGAAGATAAACAACTATTGCTATTATAACAAGATGTAGGATCCCTTTAAAAATGATCATACTTCTGAATACCTTTTCCCACAAGCATCAAAATAAAAAGGTCTCTTATGTTTTCCATCTTTCCTTTGAAAACCTGGGATTCTTTTATTGCTTACTGAACTTAAGAGGTCCATCCTTTGACACCAGGAGTGTAAAGAATAAAATATTATGTAGGAAAGTTTTAGAAAAGTCACTTATGGCATTACTTCCCCCAGTAAGAGAAATAAAAATAACCAGTTAAACACTTGGTTTAATATACATCCTAGATTTTAATTTCAGATTTGTTTTACTTTTTTTTTCCCACTTACAAGAAAGACACTATTCCTCCACCAGCTATGTATGACACATGCTGACAGATAAAATAAAACTTGCTGGTTTGACTTACTTTTGCCGAAGGATTTAATTTATGTCAGAAAATAGTAATTGGCAGTATCCCATGGCATTCATTCCTACCTGCACCAGTGATCAAGAAAACAACATGACTCAAAAAAAGTCTAAAAGTTTCAGTGGTAAAGATCTTCTTTTCACTTCAGATCAACAGGCAGACATATGGATATAACAGAGAACATATTCCACAGATAGTTTCATGGATATATATATATATATATAGAGAGAGAGAGAGAGATTTTGTCCTTATTCTGCACAGACTATGAGTGTTTTTATGATTTTTTTCAGATAGTGTGTCTATGAAGCTCCATTTGTTACAGTGATACAAATGACAGCATTATTATTACAGAATCACAGAATCTTTAAGTTTGGAAAAGACTTCCAAAATCATTGAGTCCAACCTTTCACTGATAACCACCTTGTCCACTAGACCAGACAACTCATAACTCCTCAGTTACAAAAGCAAACAGGTCTCACACCCAACTGTAAAACAAAATATCCAAAAGAATGGTGAAGGGAAACAACAAAACAACATCTAAAAAAAATTTACAGGATTTTAGTCATAGCAATATGGCACCTGAGTTTTATGTCAAGTGGCTAAAAGAGTCTCAAGGGATGAAAGAGATACTATTCAAGCAAACTGACTGTTCAACCTATAAAAGCAAATACCATGCTTAGAGACATGGGCATGTACTACAGGAGGGCTATATTAGTAATATATTCAGTTATTTATAACTACTCCTTAGGAAACTAAAAACAATGGCAACCACAGTAGTAGTATTTATAGCAAGTATTCATGTTGTCAGATGTATTTTGAATAATGTCCCAGGCTGGGACACGGCATTGTAGAACTTGGCTCAGATTACTGGAGAGATAAACTGGGAGATGTGCGAAACATTTAGACATATTCACAGTTCCCGCCTCGAAACCTGGTTCCCAATGAGAGTAACTGAGCCAGTAAGCATGGGTGAGAGAAGAAGAAATTAAAACTTTCTAGGTATATCATCACTACAGTCTAGTCTCCAAACCAGGTCTGGCTTCCCCTCTGTCATGCTACTTCTTTCTAGCAAGAACTTTCTGTACAGCTAAGAAAACACAAGTTAGCAACAGCAAGCAAAAGTTTTCTGTGACACCTACTTTTATGATTTTGATTAAAATACACTCAAATATGTTTCTACCATTTGTTCAAGAAAAAATGTTCAGTCAATATCTTATAGTTCTTGTGAGGATGGAAACCCTCACTCCCCCAGGCAGAGACAAGACCTGCCAGAAGGCAATGCCACCAGCTTTAAGTGTTTTCAGGCAGTGCAGATTACACCAGTGTAAGTAGATTAACTTGATTATTGCAGAAATATCAGATGTTACATTTCTGCTTGCAGAGCAAGCAAGAGAGACCCTGATAGAAACTAGGAGTCAATGATACACAGTCTTGTAAATGTAAGGACTGATAACTCCATACAAAGTGATAATTGAGTTCAAAGCATTTTATCTAAGTGTTGCAAAAAGGAATTATTTATGGTTTCAAACAATACAATGTTATACTGCCATATGCAGTTTAACTTCCATTTTAATGTTTTAATGACAGTTCCCTTAATAATCATCTACCATTTACTGACACATTGTGACAGTTCAATAAATGTTTAAAAATATAAGTGTTCAGTATTTTTCACTTTCATAGTGCCACTATGGTAAGTATGTCCTAGAGTTAATCAGATACTTGGTATACCTTACTCTTCCTAAAAGGTTGATGGAACAAGATCTCATGTAGTAAAGAAGATCATGTAAGACCAATACAGAAATGTCACCAGAGCTATGGAAAGAAACACAGATGTGTTTTTTCCATGCTGTCAGCATACATGTATGTATGAGGGCTCATGCGGTTCACCTTTACAGACAGACAGGCTACAAGAGAATACCTCTACAAATACCTAAATGTAGTTTCAACTTAGTACATAGTGCATGTACTCACATGAAGGACATCCACTATTACTTAAAAATAGCCTGATTTACCCAGAATTGAATTATAATTGCCTAAAACAGGAAAAATATTTTTTTGGTTACAGTGTGCATAGAAAGACAGGTAATGTAAAAAGCGTCATAATTTCGTAGCCTGTGTTACTGCATTTTCAGTAGCCCCAGCTAGACTGCCATAATATATTCGTGTTAAATGCTGACCTTTTTATTCTTTCAGAAAAGATGTTTTAAAAAGTATTACTGAATGTTTTTTCCAAGTCCTGTATCTGGATTTTAGTCCTAATGTCAGTCATTCCCCATCTGGGAGATGCTCTCTGCCTTCAACAGCAATACTGTGCAATTGGAGAGCCAAGAGTATCCAGCATTAAAACCTAACCCCCATCAAGGTCAAGAGTGAGGAGGACAAGAAGAGGATATAAAGCAAACTTTATCTCCAGGCATACCCAGTTTCTAAAACCATCACTCTGCTTACATAAAGTCTGAATTGCATTTCTTAACCACCCATCCAGAAGTTTGTAACTTGACTCTTTCATTATTGTTCCATTTACCTCTGTTCCAGGAAGGCCTTCTGGTCCTGGTTCTCCTTTATCTCCTTTTTCACCCTAAAAGAATTAATATTTATTTTATTATATATACTCATGGCAAATACTAACCCACAATGCTTTTAACAGCAAAAATATTTTATCATTCTGGTCTGTTCTACATGTGCATTTCTGAATTCACAAGCAAAACTATTTCTTACATTCCAACAGAATTTTTTTCCAAATAACTGTCCCTGAAAAATGTCTAGCACTCTGATAGGTATAGTTCTCTGTACTTCATTGTGTCATTGAACATCCATAAAGACCCAGCACAGAAGAACATTCTTGTTTCTCATAGTGTTTCAAAAATATTGTAGTGAAACAGAAATTTACACCAGGGAACAGTTTAGTTTTTGAAAATCATAATCTTAATATTGCATTTTTTTTTTTTATTCTGAGATTCAGTTTTGTCATCAGATGCTTAAAGTAAGTGTTTATTTACATAGTCCTCAGTATTATCATTTGTCTTTGACCCATAATGGTATATGGTTCACTATTTGCATTTGAAAAGTGGAAAAAACGTCTATTCTTAAAATTCTTACAAGTCTGAATATGAACAACATTATTAGTCAAAAGAAAAAAAATGGCAGGAAGTTTCCTCCAGAATTGACTATAGCTGGTTCCTGAGTTTGCTCATGAAACACTGACTACAAAACACAATAATCTGTGTAGAATACATGAAAGAATTCAGTTCCATATTAACTCTAACAACCATGTTATTCTAGTTAAGACATGTTTTATCAAAGCGAATAAAATACACCTGCTAAAGAAGCATAATTTAAGAGAAAATACCTTCCAGAAGCAACATGCTTGAAGAGCTCCATAACTGAATCTCTGTCCCTCAAATTAAGTTTGTCAAATCAATATATGTGGCCATAAAGTAACATACTTCCCATACTAGTGCAAGGACTGGCTTAATTAGAGTCCAGGCTCTTCACATAAACCAAAGAAAACAAAGGGTTCTTCACCGAATTTCCATTATCTCAAGGGGACTACATTTGTTTGAGCAGAGCCTATTCATTATATCGGCATCATCTTCATAATTCTGTTAGGTAAATGGCACTGAGCTGAGATTATTCAGCTAACTGCACTTGTGACACAGCTCTGATTCAGAGCTACTTCTCCTGTGGCAATGACAGAGGGCATTTCATCTAATAATCAGTTTTGCAAAATGAGTGCATGAGCTTTATTGAACAACTGAAGCCTACTAACAAATTAGCAGCAGCAAACTGCGAATTTAATAATCCCACTCCCAAGATGGCTTTGCTGCTTCACTTTTTCCATTTTAATACATCTTGTTGGTTAGAACCTTAATGCTACACGTTAGCTTGAACCATACAGTTAGGGTTTTTCCTCAAGTATTCCTTTTCTTACTGGCCAAAAAAAAACCCTCCACCAGATAAATCTGGTGGAGGTTTACTGCAAAGTTCAAATGACACCAAATAGCTATAGGAATTTAACACTTATTATTTTAGTGTATTAAAGCTATAGAGTCCTCTTTGTTCTATGGATTCAGACACTGGTTGAGAAAGTAATTTTCTTTCACTGTCAGTTTAAAAAAATAACCCAGTTGAAATCCCAGGTGTACTGTTCTTTTTAAATAGCTCACTTAAACTTTTAGAACTGCAAAAATGACATTTTACTTTTCATCACTGTGACATACTGAACATTTAATACTGCTTTCAGAATATTTCAACTAGAATCACTTACACTGCTGCAATCTTGCAACAGCTATAAAGGTAAATTCATATATTTGACATAATATTTCCTTATCTGAAAATATTTCTAGAAGATTTACAAATCATTCCAATTTATGGAGCAGGTTTTCTTTTTTTTTTTTCCTATGGCTTGTGTATCTGCTTTCATACTTTAAGAAAAATGATGCAAATATGTACAGATTTCCTTCAGAAGTAGTAGCATCCTGTAAATGCCTTGATGTATAGGTGGAGACCTAAGGTAAAAGTATCTTGTCATAATTTTTAATGCAATATCTACTTTGCCATAAAAAGCTAAACAGAGAACCTAAATAAAAGATGCCTGTCCCCTCAGCCTCACTTATCATTTGCCTGGCTGTGAGATGAGCAGTACATGTTGTGAACGTGCCTTTTCATCTCCAGCAGGCAGACAGTAACTTCAAAATGCCACCAGGCAGCTCTAGCACATACAAGAGTGGCTGGTGAGTGCAGGGAAGAAAGAAACCCCCCATTCCTTATGATTTACACAATATTTGGATATAAGATGTTTCTCAGTTTCTTTGACAAAATGATAAAAAACACCCCCTGTTAATGAGCCTTGGACCTCTTCAGAGCTTCTGGCTTTCGGCCAGGCGTGCAACTTTACATGAACATACCAATTTTTTAATGGAGTACACAATTTGTACTTGCCAAGCCTATCATATGGAATGTCCATACGATGTTCTCTGTGAAGCCAGAACTCAAACCAAACAGGGGTCCAATTTTTACAATTTATTCTCACAAGAACTGAGCCAAGTCATATTCATTTCTGTCTTTATGAAGCACACTATACTGCATAATTAACAGCTTCAAGTCTAGCCAATTTGCAGAGTCGCTGAAGTACTCTGCAGTGTAGAGGAGGCTGTTAATAATCAACATTATGACTTTGTACCTTATAGAATAACAAAAAGAGAGAAAAATGCATTAATGTCACTTTATTTGAAGTGCTCCTGCCTGCTTATATTACATTCAGATGAGACAATTAAAGACTATTTATTGCAAAAATAGGATGACAAAACTCTGAAAGCGTCAAGCCTTTTTTATTAGTTAACTAAAACTAACCCGATGTAACACTGAATTATTTGTATTTCTTCGGGTGAATTCTGCATTCCATTACCCTGATGGAACAATCTGATGGGGTTGTTCCAGAACAACTGCTGGGAGGGGATCAGTCTGCTGTGTGTAATAGTGGATGCACTGAATTCAGTGATAGCATTCTTTATTTAGGGCCAGGGGTACATCCACAGCCTCTGCAGAATAAGAGTACCAGCCTCCAACTCACTTGTCTGCTTTAAGATTGCCTCATTTTCCTTGCACACTATTCCCCTCATGCTAGAATGACAAAGTAATATATTTGGAAATATAATACATCAAGACCTAAAAATTGAACTAAAAAGATAAAGACTGTTTTGCAACACTGCCCTGTTAATAATACAAATAAGGAATTCCTGGTATCAGTTTTTGGAAGAATTTTAAAGTGCCATTGTTAAGTAACACTTGCTGAATTACTCTCCAAAGTACACAAGCTATATAATACCACTAAATCAGTGTGGACACCTTACAATTCTAAGCCTCTGAAACTCCACAATTTTACATACATATCTTTAAGACAGTTATGACTTGTAATTTTTTAATACTTTTTCTCCTGTTATTTACAGCTCTGGCTGAGCAGAATGTTCTACATTAATTTTATTTTCTTGTGACCACTTTTCCATAGCTTCTTTTAAACTGATCTCAGCTCATAATGATGCTTGTTGATTTTTCTTGAGTAAGTTATGTACATCTACATCTACAGTTAAAAGAAATCCAACCTTTGTTTCTTTCTGATAGATGTCTGAAGAGCTGGGGTTATGAAGAGCTCCACCCCAATAATATTCTTACTGCTCAACCTTCTTCAGAATATGGGATAAATCTTCCAAAAAATATGGGACAGTATGCTTTAGGAAAGTGACAATACACAGGGTGAAGCACCTCAGGACTGCTGAGAGATTGTACCATTTAAAAGGACTGGAAAGCAAGGCAAACAAATGATTTTAACTCAGTCCAGACTGGGAGGTACTATGCAAGGAAATATAAGAGTGACACATGAAGCTCATTTCCAAACAGGCTGTAACCCTGTAGCACATGGGAGTATTTCCTAAGCAGGATCAGAAGGGGACAGCATAATATATTGCAGAAATACACTTCTATTATGGAAAACAAAAATCAACAGAGATGATCAGGAAAGATGTCACCTTGAAGCCTGTGTCTTCCCAAATCCATATATTTAGGATTCTCAGACAAACCAATAAATCAGGTGATCCCAAAGCTTTATAGAAATCAGACAGCTCAGTAGGCACACTTATCAAGAAACAATGACTAAAAATCAGCTGATTCCAAACTGTGCATTTGCTGTCTTGTGAAAGAGTCTTAAAAAGTGCTGTGCCTGAACATACTGGATACCATGTCAGGAGAAAGATCTTTCCATCCTGCTTCTTTTACATAGACTGAGCAACACTGAAAATATTCACAATGGCTAATTACTGTTTGGTGTCACATGTCACACTCCTAAGTAAGCTCTAAGCATTTCTATCCAGAGAGGCCACATAAAGGCAAATTACCACCTCAACTAAAGGCAAAACCATTTGGCACAGAACAATCTGAATCCAGGCCAGCCCAAGGCTCCAAAGCTGCACCAATGAACTGCCTCATTCTGTCAGCAGGAATAAGGCAGCCATCAATTTTTATTCTTTGTAGAAAAACCTTAAAATGCAAAATGAAAATGCAAATTCAAAATGGAAAAGCAAAATATATAAAGGCATTTTTAAAAGGCTAAACTCCATTCTCCATTTGTCAAATGCAAGGTCAAAAAACCCCAACTATTCTAGATTACTTGCCACTGATGAGAAAAGTGAAAAATAACAGCTAGTTCAGGGCTCCATATTTTTCTGCTCTTCAAACTAGAATGACAGAAAGTGTGAAAAATAGTTAGAAGGAAAGAGTGAACATAGGACATGCTGATGGATCTCAAATATGGCAAAAATGTTATAAGTGGGACATCAAGGTGTGGAATTTGTGTTAAAAAGGCAGAGAAGTACTGTAATGATCTCAGATAAGAATGAATTTGCCTTAACTGTAGATTTTGCTTGAGAATGCTCTAAGCAGACTTAGATGCTCCATTGTATGTGTCTTCCTGTGGATGAGGCAGATATAACCCTGAACACAATTTCAGGATAACATTTCCTCCCCACTCCTCCAGGGTTCTGCTATGATCACTCTCTCTTAAAAAATGTGTCGAAGTCACATGTC